AGTGGTTCCGAACTTCCGGTTTTAGCCCAGTTCATTTCCGCTTACTTGAGCCAATCACCCAGGATACATTGCGCAATTTAAAAGATGGCGGACAAGGCAAAATGAAAATTTATCTGAAATAGTAAGCTCGAAGGGAAAAGGTCACAGAAGGATCTCTGGCTTGGCGAAGCCTCTTGTGGTATGCAAAACAGAGGTGAGATTCTACTCGACTCATTGTGTTCACTACGCCTGAGTAACGCGTGTAGTTAACACACGTAGGACGTTTTAACAAAGTCAGGTTCAAGATTGTTCAAGACTTCGTTACGAAATGGTTGTACATGTAGCAGCTATGGTTTGTTGCTAAGGACTGTTCCTGTTTATACCCACATTTCTTTTTCTGAGCATTGCTCGTATTAATCTTATAAACCGTGACAAATTACGTAATAAAGAGAGTTATTTGAAACCCAGAATAAAAAAAAATTGATATCGAAGGCACGTGAAGTTTGGTTTGTTTATTTTTTATTAAGCTTACATAGTGCTAAGGAGTTAGATATATTTTTCTCGCGGCAAATAACGATTACTTGTAGTTGCTACTTAAAATGAATTTTTCAGGACAAACTTATCTTCAGGTTTCTTTTGTTATTAATTTTTGTCTTGTTTTGCTTTGTTTTGTTTCGATTTACCTTCCAGCATAATGCAACTTATGATTAGATTAATTAGGCGTAGAATGGATTCTTTGGTTCACCACTGAAAGGAAATAAACAAAATTTTAATGCAAGACATATTTCTTTTTGATGACAACTTATCAAATGATCACAGTGTGATATAGGTGTGATAAAAGTATCGTTAAAGATCAGCCACATGTCAGCTGTTAAAGCACTGTGGTGGTGTGATCTGTGGGAAGATTTCTTTGACGTTGCACTTTCGGATTACAGAGAGTAACTTAACTGTTCAATAAGTGTCTTCTTCTGAGTTTCAAATTTGGCAAAGGATACAATTTTGCCTCCTAATATGACTTACTTAAAGGAAAGAAGGAAGCTATGAAAAATAAATGAAAAGTACTGTTGCTGTCAAAAATTCACATCGACAATTTGTGTACATTTTCTTTCCATGGCATTTTCATCAAGTTCTTTTGTTTTCAAGTCTGTTACTTTTTTCGATTTTCTGTTACTTTCTTGCTCAATTTACCCATGTTTGTATCATTCATATAGGTTCTTTACTATAAATTTTCTTCATTCTGATTTATGGTTTAACTTAGCTAGATCATTTGTCTGAATCTCTTTAAATGGTTCTCTCTTGTCTTTAACCAGGATCTTGTACAACATTTGTTTATGTCTTTTGTTCTCCTTTATTTTGTTTTCTTGTTTCTCTATTTCTCAAGAAATGTATTTGTAATTTTATTTTAGCAATCACTTCGACTGTTCACCTTGCTTTGATTCTTCACTTTTTTTGTTTCGTTTGGAAGTAAATTAACCCTTTAACTCCCAAGGCCATTAGTAATTGTCCCTCCTGTCTGTCATATAGCTCTTGTGATGTTAATTTGGAGAATTTGGTGTTGGATCAACTAATAATCACCTAATTAATATTTTTCTTTATTCTCATTACTTGTCTGCTTGATATTGTAATAACATTGTAAGGAGAAATTCTGTCTTGGTCACTCATGGGAGATAAAATGTTAAAGAGCATGTTTTTTTTTTGTACCATTACAAGTAATTTTGGCCATCACAAGCACCTCTGAGACTGTGATTCCTACTAACCACAAAATTTGCATTTTTTTCTCTTTCATTTATCTTTTTTAAACCAATGATTCTGTTGTTTTCTTCAGCTTATCAACATTTGCTGAGCAAGTGTCAGACATCTTGTAGTTCCCCTCTCTAATTTTTCCCCTTCACCTGCATACCTGTTTCTTGATATGTACTGATCATAAGATATTACCCAATTAATCTGTCCTGATACAATGTTTAATTTTGGTTGCTTAAAATTCTGATTTTCTTTTGGTCAGTGTATAGTGGATGATAACCCAGTTGGCAGCCTTTGACAAGTCATGCCTTTTGTTAGAGAAAAGAATGCTTATACCTGAGAGGTTTATTTTATAAATTATATTACAGCTTCCCTCTTTCTGTGCCAAATGGAGGCCATATGTTTATCATCTTTTAAATACTTTTCAACACATGGGGAAAATGTTTATGAACAGCTTACTGTTTATGGTGTGGGAGGTTCACTTTTCTGCGTTCTATGAAATGATTTTATGAACAAAAGTAACATGTTCCCTGTTCTATAAAAACCACACAATGCTTTTCATCCTGAATTAAATCCTTAACATAGAGTTTTCCATATTGGATGTAAGGTTTGAAAATTGGAAAATATCTCGTGAGGTATATCTTTGGATATCCCCCAGTTTTTAGGTAGAGGATATTCTGTCATGTGATGGGTTTAGACCAATTGCAGACAAGCAAATATATATATGTTGGATTATACCGGTATTTATTGATCACGAATAATTTATTATAAAAGTAAGGTAGCTGAAGTATTGTAAGTATAATGTGCGGTGTTGTAATTAAGAGTTTATAAAAGATAAAGAACAGAGAGAAACAAAAACAGAAACCAACTTAGGCCACTGCAAAACACAAGAAACCAAATTTCTGTTTTAGTCTCTAATTGCTTGATTACATAGTGTTAATATTTTAGTCAATCACAGACCAAGGTCATGGAAAAGTTTAGAAATCATGATTATATTGTTTTTAGGTTCAATCAAATTTATAAATAGCACTGTGTATAATGAGTAAAAAGATCACTTTAGCATTCAAATCTGTCCCAAATTGTCTCCTCTTAACCAACTACCTGAAATCTTGATCCTTTTAGCTCCAAGATCTGAGAATTGACTCACTCAACTGAAAACCTTACTCAGTTTGTTTTAGGTATTGCTGGGAATATGCCTGAGATTGTTTTAACCCTTTAAATCCTAGAAGTGATTCACATGTAACTTCTCCCTACAATATTTATCCACTATCCAACAAACAGGTAATGAGAGTACTCAAATGTATCAGGTAGAAGTTTTTATCTTGATCTAACACCAAATTCTTACAACTAATTTACATGCAAATGTTTAGCAGCTAGAGAGGAGAATTAACAATTAGATCCTAGGAGTTATAGAGTTAATGCTCAAACAAAAATTTGTCTTCAAGTTCTTTTAGGTATTTTATTTTCCTAATTGTTGTTGTTGTTTTTATTTTCAGGCCCTTCTTTATGGAAGCTGTGTGTCCCAGAAAGACAACATTACCAAGCATGCCTGTGATAAGGAGTTTCAAGCACTTAAAGACTGTATAAGACAAGCAGTAAGTTTTCTGGTAGACTGATCAGGCTCTCTTTTCTTTCTGTGTTTAATTAGCTTGGATATCATGTTAGTTTTTAAACCACAAACGCAATTGTCATGACAAGATAGTCAAATGGGGGCACAAAAGTGTCATTTCAGAGAGTGGGGTGATAAAAAAGAAAGCCTTCGCTTTATCATGCAACATATTCTTCGGCATACTTGTCCAGAGTTCGTTTCAGTTCAAACTTTGTTAAACATAAGCAGTTAATGACTGGCTTCAAGGGATACAGTGAGTTTTCTTTTCCCAAGACTCTTAAATGTTCCTTGAACTGAAGCCAAAGGGAACAATTAGGGTCAAATAAAAAATGGCTTTTGAGTTGGGAGGTATAACATCATGATTTTAAACAATTGCAAAAGAATTTGTAGTACTTACATACTTAAACATGTACTCTCAAACTAACTCTTATGCTCTCAAATTAGTCAGCTTTAGTTAGAATTAATCAGGTTCATCCTTTTATCAGTGGGTACTGTCCTACAGTGAGAGAGGGATGGAGTTTAACTTTTCATTCTCAAATTGTTGGTGTCCTTTTTTATTATTTTCCTCCTGATTTTAATTAACAGTCATCAGCAAAAATTAGGGACTGAAGATAAATAAGAGACAACAGCAAGTCACTCAGACATAGGACTGCTGTGCTTTTTCTACTCAAATTCAAATACTACCTACCTAAAATAATGTAATAATAATCATTATATACTGAAACAAAAAGTTTCATTCCTGATTAGTC